CTGTAACAGAAGAGTCCTGGAGCATCAGCAGGAAGCTCTAAGCTGGTTAATGCAGTATAATTGTCTGGACATAGACTGGTCTTTGTTTCTGTGGTTCACTCCGAATCAGCTGTAATTAACTCCAGAGTGCTTCCAGATTGCCAGCAAAGAAAAATTACAGCTTTTCTGTTTTAAATTGTAAAGCTCACAGGCATTAACTATGGAGATTGCCTTTACTTTGATATATTTCTATCCTTCAAGGAGAAAAAGAGCTGACTTGACTTACCCCACCCCACCTCTAAAATAAAAAATGTGCTTTTGTTAAGTTACTTGACTTAGTGTCTGTTGGAACATAATGGCCCTTTAATTGTTGGCTTTGAGACCTTTTTACTTAATATTTTCAATCTTTTGCCATCCCCTTTGCTAATATTTCTAACATTGAATAGGGGAAAGAAGTTATGCATTTCCCCCCCTGAAATACTAAACCAGATTAAAATAAGCAAATTGCAGTGAAGGATGCCTTGAAGAGAAGCATCTTCAAGGCTTGAGATCAAATACGTCCTCTGATGCAATCAGGGCTCCCATCCAGGCATGTCACCTGTGTTAGGATGTAGCCAAAAGAGACTAGAAGGCAAGGACCATTTTGCTACCTCCTTCCTGTGGTTAGTGAGCCACACCCTTTTCCAAGCTCCAGTTCAGTAGTTTATAATTATGAATTCCAGCATGGATAAAAATAAAGTATCTGAAGTATCGGTGTGAACTAAAACACAGCCGAGCACACAAAAGATCTGTCAGCAAGTGATGCAAAAAAAAAAAAAAAAAAAAAAAAAAAAGTCCAGCCAAAAATCTTTTTTTTTTTCTTTCTTCTGAATTTAACAATGAGGAATTTAAGCCTCAATGTGGCTTTAGCAAGCAGAGAAAAGAAGCTCTTGGTGTCTGCATAATACCACTTTGATGGATTTTTTTTTCATCAGTTCTCTGTACGTGGCAACAAATAAACAAGTATAATTATACTTGTGAAGGCCTATTCATTGCTTTGTCAGGATTAGATATATGTGCCGTTTCCACACTGCGCCTCCCTTTTGTCTTTGCCTAACTCACTATGACATATTGATAGAGGATTTGCAATGGGGAAAAGGCCACAGCAGAGACAGTGATGACCTTTTGGAAACTTGATATAATTCAAGGATTTTTATTTATTTCCTTCTGTTTTTTTTTTTTTCAAATTTGTAACTTGTTATCAAATTCTCTCATAAGTAGACAACTTTTAACCCATTTCGGTTGGAGTAAATAAAGACCCGGAGGGTTAGAAGATAGCCAGAGAGCAGAGGAAAATAAAAACAATAGGGTAAGGAGTGTCGGCTCCTTTCCCAGCACCTAGCATTCCTTTCCCATTATTCTGGCCTCTTGATCAGATCACGGTCTTTTTAATCATTTCACAAACACTGTCTCACTGGACCGTAGAAGAGGGCTGGGGTAGCCTCAATTAAAAAAGCAGAGGTAAAACTGGCCTCTGATTTTTGGGTCCTAATGGGAACTCTGAGTGCTGAATGCAGAGGCATTCTCCTATTGTGCAGGAAGCACCCCTTTTCATTAGAGGGGCTCCTCTTAGGTGGGTTCGACCATTTAGCAGAGTTCAGGCAGCAGTGACCGCAGAGGAAAGCAAAGCAGAAGGAGAAGAAACAAAACAAAACAAAAAAAACCTCTTCTCTGCATATTGTCTGCTGCTTCCGAAAACAGGATTTGACAGGATCAAAGTCACTGATCATGTGAATTCCCGAGAGTGCCCCCAAACCGTGCACATGTGTTCTAAGCAGACCGGCAGGTATGTATGGCTCTGGGTTTAGCATAAAAGTTAGAGCAGGTTTCTCTGAGGAATTTCCTGAGGACTTTTGTGATATTTAAAAATGGGATATTCAGCAGGAGAGACCAGAAATTGGTGATGATTAAATAGAAACTAGCTTTGATGGTGAGGAAACTTTACAGTGAATGAATGTGTTGTGCAGTCATTTGGGAATGGTTCTACAGTTTAAGTTAAATGCTTGCCTTTGTGGTCTTCACACCAGGCTGTTTATAAAGCTAGCACGAGCTTCCTATATAAGTCCTATCGGCGAAAGAGAAACTTCATTTGGCAATGAAGAGAATGAACCTCTTGGCGTCATATTAAGTGCCATGGAGTATACTAATCTGAGTAGCCTTTTAACCACACAGAAGTAAGGGTCCTACCAGAAAACACTGACAAACATTGCTATGGCGAAAGTCAATAGCCACATAAAAATCTTCAAGTCTAGTAATAAGCTGCTATCTCTGCCAATTTAGATAGTGTGGTTGATGATTTTAGAGTGAAATATAAACTTGATTGTATAGAGGACTTACATATTTGACCTGGTTTCTGATGAATATGTATCTTATTGAGATGGATTTGAAAGGCATTTTGATGAAAAGTTATGAAGTGTAATATAATACATCTACTGCATTTCTGACATGAATTCCTTTAATGCAGTTTCTATAACTTTTACTTCTACCTCTTTTCATATAAAATGAATAAAAGGGGATCTATTCTATGTAGAGAGACATTGAGACAAGGACATTGTGGAGCCCATGTGGCATCTAACCTAAATGATTAAGTACACATTATATGCAACCCCTACCAGGTACGTTTAAGGCACATTCAGAACATATGTAATAATTCTAGCATGTGTCCATTTTTGTGAGCTAATTTGGGATAGAAATAGAATGGGATTAAAGTGATAATGTATTATTATTACTATAAATAATATGATAGTAAAGTATTATATCTTATAAACTCATAAATCTGTCCAAAGCTTAGTAGCTTTTCTTACTCTTTGGAATGGAGAACATGAGTTTCACGTAGATCTATGCATAAACCAAGTCTGATTACTGAGGCAAAAGAACATCCGGGCTCCTGGAACTTCCTGTTTAATCCACTAACCTAACAGCTTTCACAACAAATGTCTAGCTTCTGCTTGCCTTCTTTATCTTTTCAGATAAGTTCCGCAGTATATTGTATTGTAGGCATTTTGGCTGTCTTTTATTTGTATACATTATGCAGAATCGGTACATGAGAAGGTAAACATTAATGTCCATGGACTAATTAGAAAAACTATTAGGTTTTTATGCTTATTATGATCGAATTATTTCAGAGATTTTTAAAAGCCACATGCATGCCATGAAGATAATTAACCTGCAGCTCATCCATGATTAAAATTACACACTAAGCTTTGTGATGTTTGCCCCATAAGCGATTAGGGTGTCATTTTAACCATCTCAGATACCAAAATGAATTTTGATTTTTGTCATCAATCTATGGAGATCGTTTGATGTATTATGAACTGACCACTTCCTCTTTGATTTGGCTGACAAGATTAGATTTGATTACAGTAAGAGCATTACTGTGATAGCCTTAATACTTGGCATGCCTGTGACCTTCAATGACATTTACCCTTTAAAAGAACTTTTTGAAAGGAATGTCTAAAATGCTCTACAATGTGGGTTTTCCTTCCTTCATAGCTCTTAGCCACTATGGAAGCTGTGTCAGCATGCAGGGTTAGAAGATGCATCTGCACAGTGATTGAGAATATCTACAAGAACAGATGGAATTTGCAGTGTGATATAGAACACCCAGTTTTCTTGTTTTGGGAACGTGTGCATGCTTTGACTCTTTGAAAGTGAGATTCTGTTAAACTTGAAGGCATGGGTCCCTTCAATTTTTAAGATTTGAGAGATTTGCTTACCTGCTTCAAAAAAAAAAAAGATCAAGACACTGTCTGTGTCATAGGCCAAAAATAAACACCGAAGTTTCATACCACTCAGCTGTTGTGTACAGTGCCATCATTCTGCAAACTGGGTGATCTGCCAGGAACCAGGGAAGCTTAAGCTTTAATCAGAGTGCACTCACAGAGGCTGACGTTTACATGTGAACACACCCACACTGGTGTGCATACACACCCACATAGAAGAAGATGCTTTTTTACCCACATGCGCCTAACCTTTACACTAGAAAAAGATATGGCTTTTATTAAGGGACTCTTACCTGCCATCAGAGGAAGTATATGATCTAGGAGGATTGCTTGAAAAAAAAAAAAACTTTTAGAACTAAAAAATATTGTCATCTAGAGTGCTTGCATGAGATTCACTAAGCCAGGGGAGATGCTGGACGAGGCATAGGTTGAAATATGGGCAACTCGCCGGGACTGATAACATCAAATGGCATTTGAAATGGTGTTCATTACACAATGCAGTTAAAAAAAGAAAAAAGTGAGTGAGTGAGTGAGTGAGTGAGTGAATGTGATTGTCCCTTAGGATGATAAGGCTGGTTGCAGTAAATATTAATTTCTGTTCTCTTGCCCATTGAGGTGACTGAAGTGTGGGGAAGAATGGTAATTTATGCTTAATCAGGGCCAGCCAGATACCTGCTGAGACCCTTTGCACAGGGAAGATTTGTGCTAAGCTCATTTACTGGCAACCAGAGAAGAGCCTAGCCTGCACTGCCTGGGACTGTAATATTTCTCATCCTAAGGCTCCTTTATTTGCTGGTCTGGTCCCTGTCCTATCCCACCTCCCCTCTGTAGTCGCTGCCTAATAGAGTAAAGGTAAATTAAAAAAAAAAAAAATACCAGTCATTTGTACCGTTCATCCATTATTGCTGTTTCATATGAAAGCCCTTTACATTCCACTAGGGTAGACTGGATTCTAAAGCCTTTGCATCCAGGGCATGCTGTTTCAGATTCCTGATACAAATTTGGGTTTCATGTGAATGCTCATAGTGGTTTCAAAACACCTCAGCAATGTATGCAGGAGCGCCTGTGATAACTATCTACATTGTTTTGGTACATTTATACAAAGTCTGTCTGTGATAGATGGGCACGATGGTTTTAAGTCCCCCCCCCTCAACTTTTTAGATAGTCAAGTTTACAGCAGCTGTGAATTAGTGATGGGCTATTAGTGAGCTGTGTCATTATTGAATAAAAATGGCTTCTCTCACCTTATTTTTTATCCAGGTCCCTGACAGGCTGGATGAAATGAGATCCCCATGTAGCAATTGTCATGGAAACCTGTGACTCTCCTCCTATCTCAAGGCAGGAAAATGGGCAGAGCACATCAAAGCTATGTGGACCGGCACAACTTGATAATGAGGTGCCAGAGAAAGTTGCCGAGATGGAGCCTGACGGGGAAAACAGCTGCACAGATGACAACCTGAAAACGGATGAGCGTAAAAGTGAAGTCTTGCTGGGTTTCAGCATCGAGAATGCAGCTGCCAGTCAGGTCACCTCAGCTAAGGAAATACCCTGCAACGAATGTGCGGCTTCCTTCCCCAGTTTACAGAAGTACATGGAACACCACTGCCCTAATGCCCGCCTTCCTGTCCTGAAGGATGACGAGAGCGAAATCAGCGAGTTGGAGGACAGTGACGTGGAGAACTTAACAGGGGAGATAGTTTACCAGCCTGATGGGTCAGCATATATAATTGAGGACTCCAAAGAAAGTGGGCAGAATGCACAGACGGGGGCAAACAGCAAACTCTTTTCAACAGCGATGTTTCTGGACTCCCTGGCCTCTACTGGAGAGAAGAGCGATCAGTCTGCTTCTGCACATGTGTCGTTCTACCCACAGATCATCAACACTTTTCATATCGCTTCATCCCTCGGGAAACCATTTACAGCCGACCAGGCTTTCCCAAATACCTCAGCATTAACAGGAGTTGGTCCTGTGTTGCACAGTTTCCGTGTCTATGATCTCCGACACAAGAGAGAGAAAGACTATCTAACCAGTGATGGCTCAGCCAAAAACTCCTGTGTGTCCAAAGATGTCCCTAACAATGTGGACTTGTCCAAATTCGATGGTTGTGTTAGCGATGGGAAGAGGAAACCTGTTTTAATGTGTTTCTTGTGCAAATTGTCTTTCGGTTATATCAGGTCGTTTGTAACCCACGCTGTGCATGACCATCGGATGACTCTCAATGACGAGGAGCAGAGGCTCCTCGGTAATAAATGCGTCTCCGCCATAATACAGGGGATTGGCAAAGACAAAGAACCTCTTATAAGCTTTCTGGAACCAAAAAAATCCACTTCTGTTTATCCCCATTTTTCTACTACAAACCTCATAGGACCTGATCCAACCTTCCGCGGTTTATGGAGCGCTTTTCATGTTGAAAACGGTGACTCTTTGCCGGCTGGCTTTGCCTTCTTGAAAGGAAGCCGGAGCCCTTCGAGCTCAGCAGAACAGCCGCTGGGGATCACCCAAATGCCAAAGGCTGAAGTGAATCTGGGGGGGCTGTCTAGTTTAGTAGTGAACACCCCGATTACCTCTGTCTCCCTCAGCCACTCATCATCTGAGTCTAGCAAGATGTCAGAGAGCAAAGACCAAGAGAACAACTGTGAACGGCCGAAAGAAAACCCCACCTTACACCCGAATGGGGAGTACCCTGTCAAAAGTGAGCCCACCGAGCCGGGAGACGAGGATGAAGAGGACGCATATTCCAATGAACTCGATGACGAGGAAGTGTTAGGCGAACTCACCGATAGTATTGGTAACAAAGACTTCCCCCTCTTAAACCAAAGCATTTCTCCTTTATCATCCAGTGTGCTAAAATTTATTGAAAAGGGTACCTCGTCCTCCTCCGGGGCTGTTGCTGATGACACGGAGAAGAAAAACCAGACTGCTGCCGGAAGGAACGGTGGCAATGGTACTAACAGCTACGGCGTTGGCGGCAAGGACTTTGCAGATCTAAGTGCCAGCAGAGATGGCGCCACGGTGGCCGCTCATCCCAGTGAAACAGCCCGGGGAGACGAGGACAGTTCAGCGACTCCGCACCAGCATGGTTTTACCCCCAGCACACCTGGTACACCAGGTCCTGCAGGAGATGGCTCCCCAGGCAGTGGTATTGAGTGCCCAAAGTGCGACACGGTTTTGGGGTCCTCGAGGTCTCTTGGTGGTCACATGACTATGATGCACTCGAGGAACTCGTGCAAAACCCTGAAATGTCCCAAATGTAACTGGCACTACAAATATCAGCAGACTTTGGAGGCCCATATGAAGGAGAAGCACCCCGAGCCGGGTGGTTCTTGTGTTTATTGTAAGACTGGACAGCCTCACCCCAGGCTTGCCCGGGGAGAGAGTTACACGTGTGGCTATAAACCTTTCCGGTGTGAGGTTTGTAACTACTCTACCACTACCAAAGGCAACCTCAGTATTCATATGCAGTCTGACAAGCACCTGAACAATGTTCAGAATCTCCAAAATGGCAACGGAGAGCAGGTGTTTGGCCACTCTGCTCCGGCCCCCAACACCAGCCTTAGTGGCTGCGGAACACCCTCCCCGTCCAAACCCAAACAGAAACCCACCTGGCGCTGTGAGGTCTGTGACTATGAAACCAATGTGGCGAGGAACCTCCGGATTCACATGACCAGCGAGAAACACATGCACAATATGATGTTGCTACAGCAGAACATGAAACAGATTCAGCACAACCTGCACCTGGGCCTGGCCCCGGCCGAGGCCGAGCTCTACCAGTACTACCTGGCTCAGAACATTGGCCTGACCGGAATGAAGCTGGAAAACCCTGCAGACCCTCAGCTCATGATTAACCCGTTCCAGCTGGATTCGGCTACAGCAGCGGCTTTGGCACCGGGACTTGGTTAGTACTTCCTGTTCCGCGCTATTGTCAGTTTTGAGTGACATTTTAACTTGGCTTCTTGGGTGTGTTGGTGGTGGTGGGGGGGGGGGGAGAGCACTATCAAACGGGACAGCTCACTAGAAAGAGCTTTCTCTTAAACTGCGTGGGCAAATTGTCCTATTTCGAAGCTAAATGAACTTCAGAGGCAAAAGAGTTAAGAGATGAGTGACAGCGTGTGAGAAGTTAGCAGATTTTGTCTACATTTAATAGGTCCATTAACAAAAGCCAATGTACAGACCCTGGTTACCATCATTAGCCATAAGCTTGACAGAACTTACAGTGGGTGATTATTCTCGAAGGTATCAAATGTGAGCTATCATGATTTTAATTAAATATTTTTCAAAAATATTTTAATGCCTGTGATTGCTCACAATTAAACCGACAATAACGCCATTTTCTTATCCAAATATTTGGCAGTATAAATATTATAGACAGTGCTGAATTGGGCAAATCCCATCAAGCTTTAAGACAAACTGAGAAATAACAATAAGTCTGTCTAGGCCCTTAAATCACAAACATGAGACTGTTTTGTTGTGGTATCCGATCAACTTTCTTGTATTGTAAAATACAAATTTCAGAATGACGTCATCGTGCCCAGTAGGAGTAATTAAAGCTACCTGATGAGGGAACCTAGAAGTTGAAAGGGATGATTGTAATAGACTGTGATTCGATCCTATTACAGCTTTTTATAGTTTAAGCTCCAGAGAAAGCACATTCCTTGTCAAGACTTTATTTTACATTCTTTTGTGTGTGCTGTGTTTTCTAGTCTCTATTTTTCCTTTTAATTTTTTCCCCCTGTAGTAAATAATGAGCTGCCGCCTGAAATCCGGCTTGCCAGTGGTCAGCTAATGGGTGATGACCTGTCCCTCCTTACTGCAGGAGAGCTGTCACCTTATATCAGTGACCCGGCGCTGAAGCTATTCCAGTGTGCTGTTTGCAACAAATTCACCTCTGACAGCCTGGAGGCCCTAAGCGTGCATGTGAACAGCGAGCGCTCTCTCCCCGAAGAGGAATGGAGGGCTGTAATTGGAGATATCTACCAGTGCAAGCTCTGCAACTACAACACACAGCTCAAAGCCAACTTCCAGCTCCACTGCAAGACTGATAAGCATATGCAGAAATACCAATTGGTGGCTCACATCAAAGAAGGGGGTAAAAGCAATGAATGGAGGCTGAAGTGTATTGCCATCGGCAACCCCGTTCACCTAAAGTGTAACGCCTGTGACTACTACACCAACAGTGTGGATAAATTACGTCTGCATACGGCCAATCACAGGCATGAGGCGGCCCTGAAACTCTACAAGGTAAGCCCTGTGCCATCCATTTTCATTGGCACAGAGTAGATAAGAGCATTAACCATTTCAGAGTTCGGAGCACAAACTGACAAGGAGCGGGCAGGGGACGAGGGTCAAGACCACAGTTTCTGCTACCATTCCTGAGGTATATGGAGTGCCCAGCAGAGGAAAACTAGGGAATTGCTCTTTGCGTTACTTCTGCCTATCTCGAGGGCATAGATTGCTTCACTGGCTTCCTACAATAAAGGGCATTTTTCTAGATAGTTTCGTTAGGAAAACCAGTACTCTAAAGTTAGTTATGTTTCATTCATTGTTTTTACAGAACAAGAATATAGTGCCACCAAGTGTTAATAGAGGCAGGGAACAAAGGTCACAAGCAAGGTCTGTCCTGTAAACGTATCATCATTCGTTTGGCGATAGCCAGGGCGTTTGCGTGTGTGAACTCTTACTGAACAAAGACAGTCTTCCTCAGCATCAGGAGGAAGTCTCCACTGGGAAACTCTGTTGTTCTTTTGCCTGATTGTTTTTACAACTAGTAATGCTTCCTCCCCTCCCAAGAGGGTGGGGCATACATAAATATGAGCTTAAGAAGACAAGTTCACTTTTATCTTCACTGGGATAAGCTATGCAGATGTTATTCATACATGAAAGTGATGAGCAGCATGCGTTGCACAAGAGTCTTGATGTTTTCTGAACCCCAATGACTGAAGAATTTATTTTCTGAAGTTAGTTCACTGGATTGCCTTGATTGTCTTGGTTCCTGTACAAGTGTAGCACACTCATTTCTGTGATGAATAACTTGGTTACTTATTAAAAAAAGAAAACTTCTTTTGTCTAGAGGATATTAAAATTCAGAAAATATTGCAAACCATTAGTCATTGTAACAAGCTCTAAATATGATTACAAAATCCATTTTGCAAGTGTTATCTATTGATTTATACTAGAAATCAGTGATAACTATACTATCAGGAGTCAGCCAACAATTATAGTACCTATAGCTTTTCTAATCTTGTTTAAAATAGGAAGCATAACAGCAAAAGCAGATGTGGCCATCTGGGTTAGACTGCTTATTTGGATTGGTGTGGTGCTGTGCAGTTGGGTTGCTCCTGTTTAAATTTTTGATAGATGTACTATGCACAAAGACTTACAGTCTCAGTGTGAGACTCGGTAACATTGTTCCTGAAATATTGGTACTCCACAGATCGATAATGAAAGCATTAGATTTGGGCTGCTCAGTTTGTGGGGAGGGCAGGCCCTAATGTAAGATGGAGCACTGCTACCTCCATGCTATTGAAAATATAATATAAAGGATTAATTGTATTATAATTCATGGGTTTGCAGCAACAGTTGACAACTGTTCAATTGCCTACTTCTTTTTTTCCTGTTGATACCTGACCTATTAAAAGTTTTAGAATACTTACGAGAAAAAAAAAAAAACAAACATTAAGTTTGTATAAATAATAGATTTAGACCCTGGGAGCTATATAGAATATTCATGAACTGTGTTTATGTTCACCCAGTCCCTCTAACACTTTAAATTAACATGTTGTGCATAGGAGATATAAATGTACAGTTTTTTCTATTTTATTACCCTCAGGTGGGAACCTACTGAAAGGGAGAGTATTATTGTTTATATTCTTAAAATAGGTTACTTAATCAATCTGTCTGATAATTCTTCATATGTTCATATGTTTTTGGTGTGTGTGTGTGAGTTCAAGCCATTCTTTCTATGAGTTTGAGTTGGCCACCTTAGTCCCACAGTGCCATTTACAAAGTTCCTGGGTTCAACTTGAAGGAGGGACAGTTGAATGTTGACTTTGAATCAGTTATGATAAATATTTGACTCTCAAGAGGGTTACAATGACAGGAACACATTCTGCCCCAAAAGCAGAAAATACATAGTTAACTTAAAGAGCCTCTAAGACATATAATGTGGCCCTTCTGTTTGTATATCCCTTAATTACCAGAGTATACCTAATATAGTGCTTAAATATGGCCAGCAGGCAAACAGTTATTAGACATTAAACAGAAAAATGTTACGTTAAATTCATTGAGTACCAAAACCTGTTATCTGAAAATTCAACTACTTTTTTGCATAGTTTTAGAAATTGTCAGGAAAAACAAAAACAAACAACAACTAAACCCACTCCCAAGCAGTTATGTATTGAACATGCTATTTTCAAACTGAATTCTAAAGCTATGTGATTCAGAAAGAGAGTGTTTCAAGCACAGAGATGAGGGGATTAGCTTGGCCAGCTTCTCTCAGCAAAATAAAATTGGTTCATAAGTAACATTAATTGCTTTTAAATGAGAACCTAACGAATTGTCTTGGGCCTGGAAAAAAAAGTCATGGTTTATCATATGGCTTAAATATTAAAATTAGACTTAAAATAGTTTCAGAGTTAATGACTAGACAATAATCTTCTCTATAAGATTTATTTTCATTAAGAGTTTAATTTGCACCATTTTGCTCTGTGAATTATTCAGACATTAGAGGAAGGTGGCAAGTTACAGTTGTAAGGCAGACACAGCATTGCAAGAAAACAGCTTTGCTCATTATTGACAACATATTGATTCATAACGCCCTCAACGTGGCGACGTGTCAGGTCAATTTGAATAAAACACTCTACTCGCTCCTTTGTCAAGCTGAAGAAGCATCACCTAAAAGGGCTGTGTGCTCAATTCCGTTTAAGGAGGTTAAAAGTTAAAGGTCAAGGGTCAGTGTGAAGGCATCATCTGCCAAGCTGCTTAACTTTAAACTGATCAATTTAATGAAAATCTGTTTTACAGATGTTGTTTTAATGCGTTTGGCAGGATTTAGTCAGATTTAACATTAGACGAGAGGTAGTAAAAATTATTTCTTTATTTGACCAGAAAAACACCTCTCCTTTTATGTTTAAGGTAGATGGCTTGTGGGCTATGGTATTTTGGCAAAGAATCCAGAGGCAGAATGTGTTGATGATGTTTCCATATGGACTAAAAAAGAAGGAGAGAGAGAGAGAGAGAGAGAGAGAGAGAGAGAGAGAGAGAGAGGGAAAGAGAAACTGTTGTGTCTATTGCTGAGGATGACTGAAAAAAAAAAGCAGTGTGTTCTCTTTGGTAGTATAGTGTTACTCTCCTTTGTTTTTTCTGAAAAGCAACTGTTTTTGTTAAAACTCTTCCTCATTTTTTCCTAATACAATCTTACCTTGACAAATATTTTTCCTTCAGAAACTTTAATGGTGGAAGAAAGTTGGTCAGGAAAATGAAGCAGAAAGGAAAAAACTTTACATTGCCCTTAGTCTTTCCTGTATTTAAAGGGAGCCTGTCGTGGAATAGACTCTGTCTTGTCCGAATCCTGTCCATATACATACATGTGTTATAAAATCTAAAACTCTGGTTTTAAGACAGCTAATTTACTGGGCTACATTGTAGGTTTCGAATTTTCATGTTTTCACAATCTCTTACGTTTTAGTGGATTGGTTTTTGCATCCTGGGCCCCTACTAAATGTCTGTATGATGTAATGAACTAATGAGTCTATGGGGGAGTGTTTTAGGGCATCTCCTCTACCTTCTCTCAGCCTCCATTCTAAAAAACGCATTGTAATTTGCTCCGCTTCTGAAATGAGGCCTGGCATTTTCTGCTAAGTCCTGTGGAAAGTTGTAATGACAGCCACTGAGCGTTACACATGAAAGTTAGGACAATCAAGGAAGGCTAGGGCAATTTTCTAGAGTACACTGTTGGCTCGAGGAGGCTGACTCTTGAGCCCAGCTGTTTGGTTCCCCCATTGATTGCCCTGTGTGGAACATGCCCATGCTCCCGTGTGAATGTGTGAGTGTTCACAACTTTCCTGGTTCAAAGTGAAAAACCTAACTGCTTGGGCTGATTCTCTCCCTGGGAGGGAAGAAGGCAAAGGCAAGCCCAGGAGCGAGGCAAAGGAGAGCGTACCTGACTTCCACAGCTCTGTTTCGCTGTTTGGATCTCACAAAGGCTAAAAGCATTGAGGCCCTGACCTGTCTACGTGGTGAATGGTGGCACACAGGACGTTTAGTCCTAGGTACTTGAAGAGTGAAGTAGACCCAAGGATTTAGAGTTCCTCACTTTTTTAATGATTCGAATTAAAGAAGAGATCCCAATTAAGAACGGAAAGTCAAGGGGAGGAGATGCATGGAAGAGAATGAAGCGCACACAGCGAGGAAAACCAGCCAGCGCAAAGGGAATGACTGGTACCGCCTACCGCTTTACCCTTTCACCATAGGAAACCCTGAATGGTTTGAGGGTCTCAGTGAGCCACAGGTGTTTTCGTAACCATATGCCCAAGTCCAACTTTGCAATTTAAAATCAAATGTACCAGCTATGTACCATTGCAGTCATTGACGCCTTTTCTGGTATGGTGGTGAGTGCGCTACACATTTACATAAAGGCCATCATGTAAAGAAAATTGCAATACCGGTACGCTCTGAGAAATCCAAACAGGTTTTACTTACTCTTATTGTTTAGATGAAGAGAGCTGTTTTCAGATATAAACAAAAGTTTTCCCTGACTAAACATTAGCCTGAATACGGAAATATTTTTGCACTTTTTGTATTAGTTTCACATTAATGTTCATTTCAAGGTTGAAAAGCAGTGTGAAATTTAATTCCAGTTGTACATTTTTTTGTGTGAGTAATCACAATTCAAATTATTCCATTGTATTCTCCTATTAGAAGACAAGCAGAGGTTGGAAAAGGAATTTCTACAATAGAACAATCCATGCTGGCATAATACTTAGAACTAATAAATACACAGATCAAATAAAGAGGAACCAGTTAGCTAATAGCAACTAATGAATCACGGGTGTTTTCAGATCACACTGTAATTGGCTGGCTTTCCCGACTATACAGCCTTCTGTTTTTAAACATGATGTTGCCTGAAACATAGCCATATGCAAACCAGGCTATTTTGAAACAAATGTGACTTCTGTCATTGTATTCACGTGGCAAGTACTAAGGTACATTGTGAGCTGAGAATCTTTTTTCACCTCCAAAGT